ATCAGAGCAAATTATGGATCCGTGAGCAGGAGAGTTCAGTGTGGGGCATTTCTTAGCTGGTGGGAGGGAACAGGCAGGGTAGAAGGTCAGCAATACGTTTTTTAATCAAGTGGTAATTGGACCCTCTGTGAACCTTGAAAGTACAAGCTCTTTTATTAACTAAACAATTGAGAAGCATGGATTTAGAATGTTTTTTTTACCCAAGCAATGTGGGATGTCTGTGCTCCAGTTGCTCATAGCCGTGCACTCAGTGACAGCAGTTCCATTTAAGATAAAACCTTCATCACAGGTTGTCGTGCAACGAGAACCAAAACTGAACTCTCCATGAGGATCAGAGCAAATTATGGCTCCGTGAGCAGGAGAGTTCAGTGTGGGGCATTTCTTAGCTGGAGATGAACAAAAGGAAAGATGTACACAAGGTATTAAGCTGATTTAGTGAAAAGTTGTTGTAATGCAAACTGAACCATGAAACTACAAGCTTTTAGCGTGTTCTTTACCCAAGCAAGGTGGGATGTCTGTAGTCCACATGCCCATGGAGGTGCACTCAGTGCTGGACGTCCCATTCAGCAGAAAGCCCTCATCACATGTTGATGTGCACACAGAAGCAAAACTGAAGGAACCATTTGGGTCAGAGCATGATATGGAGCCATGAGAAGGAGAACTAATTGGAGTACATTTCTTAGCTTAAAGAAAGACAGACATAAGAAGAGGCAGCTTCTTAACCTGTGGTTCACATTCAAAACAGTAAAAAAAAAAAGTTTTTAAATTATATAGTATATATATCAGCATTTAGTCATACCCAGGCAAACAGGAAGTGCATGACTCCAGTTACCCTGTGAAGAACATTTTGTCACATTTGTACCAATTAGATCAAATCCTTCTTCACACTGAACAGTGCATATTGAGGTGTAGCTGTGCTTGTTTATAGGGTCATGGCATTGCAGATAGGCATGAGGTGGAGCCTGAAGACTGTTGCACTGTACCACTAGAAAAGAGGAAACACTTTCAACATCACAGCATGCAATTTTTATTTCTATCCAGAAAGCGTGTGCTGCTTTGTGGTACAGCAGAGTAGTTTGCGACACACCTGTACATGTAGGTGTAGGCTTGCTCCATTGTCCCAAGGTCAGACAGCTGAGTACCTTGTCCCCAGTTAAATAGTAACCCTCCTTGCAGGTGAAGTTACACCATGAGCCATAAGAGAAAGGCTCCACAGGGTCAACGCAGGTCATGTGGCCCATAACAGGAGGGAAAACTGGGGAGCATTTTCTCACTGTGGTGAGACACAGATATCACTCAGAGTTCACATAATGCAGATCAGTGCTCTTATATAAAATGTCAGTTTGAACAACTGTATGTTATGACTGCGCTTTCACAAACATAGCTTAATCATCATGCTGAGATCATTTACGGTCAAAGAAAAAACAAAAACACAGTTTATCGACCCATGAAAAAAAAAATCAGTGTTTGTCCAGCACGGACTTAAATGAGTGTGAAGTGGAGTGATGACAGGCGTGACCTAAAGCTAATCTGCTGCACAGTCCAGACAGGATGTGAAAGTGGACTGAGTGCAGTTATGCAGTAGTATATCTCGAAAGTAAATCTGTAAAAAGGGTTCAAGTATTACACAAGTTCTGTGAAAAGTAAGTGACACTCAAATACACACACAGACACACAAAATGAACGCTATAATCAGTTTAACTAAAAATAAAAATGAGTAAACTAATTAACCACCATACAGAATGATTTAAATTCAAAGGCAATGACAAGTTTACCTGTACAGACTGGAACAGTGGCTGTCCATTGGCCAGTTCGGTCACAGATGATCTGGTTCTGCCCAATCAGTTCATAGCCTTCATCACAACTGAACTCACAGGTTGAGTTGTAGCTGAAGGCTGCGATGGGGTGGCTGCAGTTCATGCTACTCGCGCTGAAGTTGGTGTATTTCAAATTTGGACACTGTGCAACTATGATAAGCAGTCAAAATATGTTTTGTAACTTTGCCATCTGAAACATCAGTTTTTAAAAACAGCTGGTTTCCTGTTGCCGTACCTTGACACAGAGGAACAGGGTGGTTCCAGAGCCCATTGGCTTGGCAAATCAGTTGAGGCGCGCCTATTAACCGAAATCCAACTTCACAGAGAAAATGGCAGGAAGAGTTAAGATGATTAGACCCATAGGGATTAGAACAGCGGAGAGACCCTTGATCTGGATGCGGAAAAGGTTTGCATGTGATCGCTGAAGATAAAACAAATAAAAATTAGTTCATGTCTTTTGTTTAGGTTTGCAAAAATATCTTTAACAATTGTCGGTAGGCTAAAACTAAAATACAGAAGTTCCCGAGGAACAAATGAGGGACAAATTAATAACAATCTAACCCTAAATGGACTGCTACGGTGAGGTTTAGGACTTACTATGCCATTCAGATATAAAACGAAGACTTAAAGATGGTCAATATTATTCAAAATCAATCACTTGTTATGGGGACTCTTGTGGCTGAGTTGTCTGGTAACTTCATTAACTAAGTCTGAGGTGGTCAGAATGAAATATCAGGCTAATCCCGGCTGGTTATTTTAATTTAATAGTTGTATATTTGGATTGCATATTGCAATATTCTACAGATCTTATCAGCTTACCCTCTTCACAGCGTAGGCCTCGGAAACCAGGATGGCACTTGCAGATGTGGCTTCCAATGCTTTCCACACAGTCTGCATGAGCACTACAAGACTCATGTTTGCAAGAGGCTGCAAATCACACAAAAGGTGTCAGATGCTGTATTACATTTACTGCCAAAGTTTTCCATCAAACTAAGTGAAGAGTATCCTACCGGTGTAGCAGACAGCTCCTTTCAACTTATTGCAGTTCTCATTGTTCCACTTGGCTGTGTCTCTCGCCCTCTTAATGTATATCTCCACACAGTCCTGACGGGGTATGGTATCTGGCTCTGCTGATGCCCAGTTTTGAGCCTCTTCAGGTACACTCTGACTGGTGTTTACTGAGGTCCACAATCCAGCCACTCTGTGAACCCCTATCCAGTAATATTTTTGATTAAATGGTAGCAGATCATTGAGGAAATTGGTCTCCTCTTGGTTCTGAATGGCAACCATATCCGTGAAGAACTTCTGGCACCACTTGCGAGCCTCGTACCAGTTCTGGTTTGGACCAGTGCTGTAGTTGTATGTCCATGCTTGCACACCTCCTTTCCTACTACTCAAGTCTAAAAATGTAGCATAAGGACAGTAAGATAAATGTGGACTGGTGAAGAAAAGTGTTTGGTGTGTGTATTACGCAGGCTTACCTACAGCAAACACAATCAGCGTAGCTATCAGCGCGTTACAATGCGAGTTTTGTCTTACATCACCTGACATCTGAAATACAAAGAAAAACAACTGAGAACGACACATGGCTGCTATGTGTGAGAATGAGGGTACAGTATCAATTTCTATAGGTATGAATGAACAGCCGTTACGTGTCTTACCTTCTGAGCCGTCTTTAGTTACTAATTCTTGGCATTTAACTCTCACCTCTTCAGTAAATGGCAAAACAGTATTATCTGTCCTCCAGGGACTGAGCCAATGTCCAATTTTGTAATATCATTTCTACCACAGCTTCCTTTCAGGAAGGGTTTCACTCAACCACTCACAGCACCCTCCACACATGCATGCACACATCCAAAGATAATTATATATTCAGAAAAAGACATGCAGACACAGTCACTAAAACATTATTTTTATTCGCATTTACATTTCAAAGCAATTTACAAGAATGCGGCACACATGTCTGAACCATACCATGATGACAAACCATCGAATATACACAATTACATAATTTATAAGTATGCAACATATCAAATGTAACTTTTACAACATATTAGGTAAAAGCCTTAGCTGACTGATATTTAAATCAGCATCCAGTGCATGATGCAAGGAGACCGATTTCCTCAATCTCTAAGTGAACTGTCTTGCTGTCAAATATATTCTAATTAAGGCGTGGGACGTTGTTTACGGTTGTGTATCACAGGGTGGACTTCCTTCTTCGGGCAGCCTGTGCAGGACAGAACAATGTTCTTAGATTTTTCCCCCAAATTCTTTGAATACTAAGTTAGCAAAGACTGTGAGAAAGGGTGGAGCAGCTTAAGACAAACGTATAATTTCAACACTGACCTTTCTTGGGAAAGTTTCTTTCCTGTGAGAAACAGAGAAATGGATTACTTTTGAGGGGTGTTGCAATAAGATTGCACTGAATGTTTTATTTGTATAGAGAGTAGTTGAGAATGACTGACTTTGTCTGTGTTTTATGCAACAAAAACAGATGCAGCAGAAGGTAGAGAGGGCTCCACATCCAGCTAAAGCCAGCAAAGCCTGTTTATAGCCTGAAAAAGAGGGGAAAGCAATTTTTACCATTCAGTTATACATTACAGCACATCATTCATGTACATGACAAAACTACTGCTTTCCATCAAAATGATTTAGCATGAGTTACTGGAAGCACCGTTCTTATGGCAAAGAAACTATAAAAACCATACATGAAATGGCCGGCCGCCATATTTAATGTTTAACAACATTTTACAAACATTTACATGATTTTTTTGAAATTACTTGTACAAGTAGGTCTTGGGCCACTCCAGACTCTGGTCTCTCCACAAGTGACGGCTGGTGAGCCAATCACGAGGAAGCCAGGGTCACACTTAAAATGACAGGTTGTCTTGAATGTCTGATTTCCTCTGGAGCAGTTATGGGATGCATTATAAGTTTGAGGTAGAGGGGGGCACTCCACAGCTGAGGGCACAAACAGGTTATACAACATCTTACAGTATGTTATAATACGTTTTAAAGCACTGTACTTTATTTTTATTTTTTTATTTATTTATACTTCATTTTTATTTATTTATTTTTAGGAACAGGAACATTAACATTTACACAGACACAGCAAGGGAAAAAGGTAAACAACTAACTAGAAGTAAAAATAATAAGATAAATAAGATAAATAAACAAATAATAAAAAATAATGGAGGGAGGGGCTCACCCAGGGCTATGGGAAGTTACTAAAATGTCGTTTTTCCACTTGGAGACACACCGTGCATCTTCACCCCCATACCTACGTCTATGTACATACTCACATATACTTTCAAGTATCTACATACACATCTACATATACATACATAATACATATCTACATGTGCATGCATGCATATTCATGCATGTATACCCTTTGACATAAAATCAGGTTAAATGAAAACAGAATGGGAAGGGAATGAATAAGATCCTTTTCCTACATTATTCACAACCCTTTCGCATATTCGAAAACCATTTTGACCAATATCTTTGAAATTTGTCTTTACAGAGTCTTAGAGAAAAGGTCATCTTTTCCATTTCACAAATGTCTTTTACTATGGCTGACTTCGGCCCAATAAGTGTACTTTATTTTTAATGTGATATTACAGTTTGGTATTACTACCGCTCTAATCAGTGGTAACAGTAACTTAAAATGCTGAAGCACAGGTCTTATGAAAACAAACCTGTGTATTTTCAAGAACCTTTAAACTTTTAGATGATTTCATGAAATTACCTGCACAAGTAAGTCTCGGCCCACTCCAGTCCCCAGTGTCTTCACAAGTGACAAATGACGAGCCATTTATGAAGAAGCCAGGGTGACACTTTAATCGACAGGTCGTGTTGAAGGTTTGATTTCCTCTTGAGCAGCTATGGTATCCATTATAAGGCTCAGAGAGAGGGAGGCATTCCACAGCTAAGGACACAAACAAGTTACGCAACATCTTGTAATGGTTTATAAAACATTTCAAAGCACAAACATGCTGGTGCGTGCACATTTTAATGTTATATAAGAATGTGGATAATGAGTCGCTGAAAACAGAATAAGTGTAGCAGTTAAACTAAATCTGTTTTTAAGTATTTACTTCTATATCTAATTGTACGATAAGGGGGGGGAGCACTCAGGACAAAACCTGGGTTCCAGTTAAATCGACATGTTGTGTTGAATGTTTGATTTTCTCTTGAGCGGCTTTAGTATCTGTTCTCAAGCTGAGGAAAATCCACAGCTGAGGGCACAAACAGGTATGCAGGGCATTATGTAATGTCTTGTAACAGGTTTGTAATATGAAAATAACACATTTTAAAGCATTTATATTGGGTTTTTGTGTTCATACTGATGTAGGCTTAATAATGATAATTTCAGTTTTTGAAGAAAAACAACACGAGTCACTTATATATGTAGAGCATAAAAAATTGCGCATATCTCAAAGCGTGTGTGTTGGAATATACAACTCTGTTACGATTACTTGTTTCCTCCTGCACATTGTTTCACACATTACTAATAACTGTAAATGGCAACTCTTTATGCATTATAATAAATAACACTAAATTGCTCACGTGTTTGGCACCTGTCTCCCTTAAAACCATGTTCACAGAGGCAGGTTGTACTGTTGATTGCCTCCTGGCATCTTCCTCTTTCACAGGATGATTCATTGCACTGGGCTTTTAAGAAAAAGCACACCAATATAAGGTCACTTATCACTATAAAACCTTCACAGCTTTTCTTTGTATAGAAGACACTTTATTTCTTTTTTAATAATAGATATTTAAAAAAATTAGTTTTAAGACAAGACATGTTATCCTGAAGATGTTAGAAAAGTTAAACAATGCAAACAAAAAATATCTGACATTACTGTAATGGTGCATAGCACATTAAAATAATATGTAAACAATTTACTTCAATAACAAATAAAAATAATATTTAAAACAAATATTATGAACATGTAAAAACTATTCTGAAATCAAGATTAAAGGAAATCAGCCATGCTTTTTCATGAAAATATAAAGTTATGATATAAGAAAAAGAAAAAAAATCAACAAAGCAGAATTAAAAATGTGGTAAAAAACTGTACAGGAAATACTATATGACAGGTTTACGTACTTTTAAAACACGCTGCATATTTTGATTTGCTACATTTCTCATCGTTCCACTTCCCTTGATTTTCTCCTGTGTTAGTGTAGATCTCTACACAAAACTCTGTTGCATGGACATTATTTGGTTCATTTGGTGCCCATGAATTGTTACCAATCCACGTGCTGTTATTCCCAATCCAAATCCAGCTTTCATTCATATGGTTTCTAGTGATTCCAATCCAGAAATATGGGGAGCTTCTTTTCTGTGGCAGGATGGAGACCAGATAATCATTCTCCGCTTGGTTTTGGATGACCACCATGTCTGTGAAATATTTCTGGCACCACTCTCTGGCCTGGGTCCAGTTCATTGTCTTGTTTGAGTAGTGATACGTCCAGCACAGAGTAGTCTCAGCCAAGCAACCTGCAAATGTTCAGAACAGCTTTTAATGTGATAATTAATAAAGTTTTCTGACACGTGTCAGCCGGTCTTTGCCCAGCAGCCACACATTTCACTGGAACTGGAATTAAAACTTACCAAAGATGAGGATTAATGTCCACTTCATCTTCAAAGAGCAATTTACTGTCTGTACAACAGGGGGGGAAGAGTATATTTTCAAAAGTACTAATGAATGTCACCGCGGAGAGTTACTGAATAAGAAAATTGTGACTTACCCAGAATTAATATTATAATATTGTCCTTTGAACTGTTTGACGCAAACTTCTACATAAGTTAAATCCCTGTTTTTTCTGATCAACTCAAACATAAAACAAAAAGCGTTACAGCAGAAAAATGTAAAGTTTGTTAGACGAAACTAAGGACCAGTGTCAGGCTTTTATATGTTCTCGTTTGCCATTCAGAGCAACATTATCATACAATAACTGGATGTTTGCTGTTCAGGCTGAATGCATGTAACGAATGATTTACTGAATATTTTAATGACTTTAACAAACCTTTAGGGAAACCCCACCTATTTCTAGTAAAGGTGGTTTCAGGGGCAGATTTTAATGAAGAAAAGGTACACAATGCCACAAGGTGCTTACTCATAGAGGTTGGACTACAGCCTTTGAAACACTTTTTAGTGTTTAAATGGGAATTTTTAAGCCTTTCATTTGTGGCTAGAATGAGTGTTTTCTTGTCTGTTTTCAAAAACACGTCTTCTCCATATCCTGACATATTGATGTAATGGAAACTCTTTTTAACGGCAGTGTCCTTCGAGACAACTTTAGACTTATGAAAGATGCGAGATGTGAGTTCCTGTCCAACTAAAGTAAAAGAGACTGAATTTTTTTAAACAATGAACTCTGGGAGAGAAAAAAAGAATACCTAGGAATATAATTGTTCCTTCTTTGAATACCGCTCACTTTTATATGTTTATTCTGCTTTGTCATGAAGTTTATGATGGAAAGGTCGATGTTTTGGCAAGAGATCTGGGAATTTTTCAAAACACATCCTTCCTCAACCCCTGAAAAAAAACCCAGAAGGTTGTAGAAGGTCATGGCTGAAACTGGGAAACTAGATTGGTTTATGATAGAAATCATGAGTCAATCTATGAAGGCTGGCTCCACAGAAGGCTATTACACATCCGACTACTACACATCCTGCTTGGCTAAGCATTCCTACCAGTGTGGTGACACTGACACAACTGGCTGAACTTTTTTATTAGTCCTCCGTATATTTTTTTCAAATGAATATCAGAACATTTCCAAACATAGAAAACAGCAGATAAAAAACATCAAATTTGAAGTGTTACAGTAACAAAGTCAAAAAATAGAACACACACACACACACGCGCACACACACACACACACTCAGCTATCATGACAGGACAGGCAGTTGATGATAAATGCAGAGGAGGAAAAGCAATTACTGGATCAGTTAGGTGTAGTAGGGAGCGCACAGGGCCCTCATTATCAACAGACTGTAGAGTTTGGGACACACACACACACACACACACACACACACACACACACACACACACACACACACACACACACACACACACCACCTTAAAAAATAATGCTTTTTTAAGAAAATAAATGTTACATGAATTCTATATCAAATTATTTGCTGCTATGCACTACAATGATAATTTACACATAATGCGTAAAACCATCTGTAGTTTTCTATTATAGCACGTTTTTGCTATATTAGGCTGTCAATACTGTTCTTGGAAACTCTGTGGAGGAGCCTCTATGTCAGAGATGCTGTAATAAAAGAGAAAAGAGGAAAAATCAGAAAACCCCAAAAGACACATATATGATTTAAACGAGGTAAATTATTTTCTAACCTGTTCAAACTTGTTTGATTTCTTCAGTTTTTTAAAGATCCACATAGCCATAGGCACACCAGAGAGGAAGGCAATCCCTCCTGTGGCTACACCAGCAGTGACTGCTGCAACTGGAGCAGGAGCTGTGGAAACACGGTGAAATGTGAATAGTGTGAACTTTTGCTTTCCCCTTTGATCTGTTGTTGCTCATTTACCTTGGCAGGTGGGTTTCTCTGCAGTCCAGTTGCCATGATGATCACATGTCAGCAGCTCAGGTCCTTCTAATGAGTAGCCTTGGTCACAGGTGAAGGAGCACTGAGAGTTGTAAACTGACTCAGTGCTGGAGCAACT